ATGGCTGGGGGAAAACACTATCTGTCCCAATATTTTTCTCCCCTTACCCAAGATATAATACCTATCATGCTGATCGTCTGTACAGCCACCATAATGCAATGCTGATTACATCCAACAGCTGAACATGTGCTATTGCTTTATGCAAACCTAAAAAAGCAATCTTATCGAAAGTTTCATAAAAAAACCAGGAAAAATTAAACTTTAACAGCACCTGTATTGTTTTAATGGGTTTTTTTCTCATTCAAAATACAACATTTAACTTTAAGGTCATTTTTCTTCACTGTAGTACTACATGAGTACTCTGACCACACTGTGTCCACACATACCAGTGTAGAGGAGACTACGGTATGTGTTCTTCATACACCTTGTACATGTTGTACATGTTCCCAAGCAGCTAATCCAGTAGCCACAGGCAGTATTATGTAAAATTCACTGATCTGTGACATTATGAAGGGCGAAAACCTGTGCTGGTTGGGCGAGGCAACTAAGCTGTTAACATCTTAACTTTGGACAGATACACACAGCTGTCCTCACAATATAGATCACCCTTTCATTTGTCACCATAGGTCAAGCAATATCCTGTGACCCATAACACACCTCAAAGACTGTGAGGCCAGAGGCCAGTCTCTGATGACACAGCCACAAGAAGGAGTTCAATGCTGCTTTTATATTAATGATAACACACTATAGTATAAATTTTATTTATCATGACAATAACAGTTAGTTTTGACCTGGAGTCAGATGTCGGTCAATGTGTCAGGTGAGGTGAAATAGGGTTTAACGTCGCGCCCACAATTATTGCACTTATATAGCGATGTGCATGTACGTGTGTGTGAGTGTGGCTGCTTGTAATAGTCCGGACTGATGCCGATTTATAGTGCTAGCTCACTGAGATACCATGCCGCAGTTGAACACGAATACTCTACTCAGACAAAGTATACTGACTCAGAGCTGACCAGTCCTTGTTTTAGCCCCTTAATGCCGAGCGCCAGACAGGGTAACAACAAGTACCATCTTTTAACGTCTTTTGGTATGACACAGCAGGGGATCGAACCTCGGACCTTCCGCTCTCCGGGCAGACGCTCTACCACCAGACCACGGAGGCAGTCTCAGTGTGTCAGAGTTGGAAAGTGGTCCCACCTCACTCTGCATGTGCCAGCCAGTGTATGGTGTCCTTTTGTACCAGTTGTACACTATGTTGCGGTCTACAGGGTTCACACCAACACTTGAAGCAGGGTGTAACTAAAGTTATCAGTGAACAGTAAACACTGAAAACCTTAATGAAACATCCATTATACCACTGATCAATCATGTGTCAATATATTAATTCATGTCTACAAATTACCAAATGAAACTTAATAAAGTGATGATCAGATGATATATCCAAGTTTATTGGTTCATCCAGCAGTAATAGGCAATAATTCGAAACATGCTAAAAGCAACATATTTTTTATCAACTTTGAATTACTATTTGAACATTGTTCCAGTAATGAAATCTGGTCAATTAGCATGATTAGGAAAAATACCTTCAAAAACTTATTACTTCTTTAAAAATTTAAACCAAACTTCCCAACTGTACCAAAAAAGGCCATCCAAATCTCAAAACTCATGAGTGGCAGTGGATGACAAATGTTACCAATTAAGCATGCACCCCCCCCCCCCCCCTTTAACAAAAGCCATATAGATCAGTGCTGGGGTGAGATGAGAAACAAAACATGTTTTCTAAGTACATGTAGCCTTGAAATGATTAACAAACCCAACCATGCCTAAAAGTCAACATCTTCAAGTTTCTGCATTATCCTAACCTTCAGCGAAAACGGTTATCAGGAACTTCCCTCAGTCCCAAACAACACTTTAAACAATAAACACTTTAAGACAATTTTTAACATTGTATAATAATATGCTCCCATTTACATGCATCATGAATTTTCCTTAATTCACTGATTTTCTTAATGCAACATAATTCAGCATGTTGAGATAAACACACTTGAAGATATATATAGGTATCAGGGCTGGGACGGGTAACTCGGGTACCCGGGTAGGGTGGGTACTAAGTAGGACACAGGTACCCTCAGGACTACCCGGACCCGTAGTTAGACATGTGATATATTGTTAAATGACAAAAATTATCTAGAAATCTATGTTTACACTACAAGTCACTAATGTTCACATTTCTTTCTGGCTATGCACCCATTCCTTCTGATTTTTCATATGGTTGAGTAAAGATATACCGTAACTTAATTCAACTTCAGTGTATGAATGACCAGATTGTTTAATATGTGTATCTAAAAATGTTTTGCCAGGACTATGCTGAAAATGTTTCAATTCGGACATTTTGAGACATCTCCTGAGACCTACAGTGGGTACCCAACTTTACACAGTATTTGTTTTTGTTTGTCAACAATATTCCACCTACATGATGGCAGTCTGTGAATAATAGAGTCTGGACCAGACAATCCAGTGGTTGACATCATGAGCATCGATTTATGCATTTGGGATACAATGACATGCATCAACCAAGTAACCGTGTCTGACCACCCGATCCCCTCTTACTACATTCCATCAAGTTCACAAGCAACACAATGTTATTATAAGGGAATCGCTATTTTCAAGGGCATTATCATTTGCAGAAGCTGGAGGTCTTCCATTAACTGCCTGACGCAGAAGAGCAGTTGAAAAGATCAAGGGCTGCTGCAAATGATAATGCCCTGAATAATAGCGCAACCGTTATTATAGCTAAAATGGATGTTCTGCTCATTTCGGACATCAGGAGACTGAATCTTCTCGGTGAAATAATTTTAATCTGTTTTAGCTGAGGGACCTCTTGGGATTTCCCTTTTTTCAGCATGTTTCAAATGTTTGCCCTACTAAATCCACAAGCTAGTACTCAACACTGAAAACACAGCTCCACACTCACTGAACATGAAAATATACTCTCTGATTTGATTTCTTACCATTTTATTTTTATTTCACAATCTAACCAAACTTCCCAATTGTACCAAAAAGGCCATACAATTGTCAAAACACATGAGTGGCAGGCATTGCACATGTTGCAGGTTGTTTGGATGGCTTGGATGACAAATGAAACCAATTTAGCAAGGAACCACCCCCTGGGTTTTCCCTCTTTTTCAGCATGTTTCAAATGTTAGCACTACTAAATCCACAAGTTTCCTAACTCAACACTGAAAACACTACTCTCAGATTTGATTTCTTACATGTTTACTGACCCCAACGTATTGCCACAGAGTCTTATCAACACGCGTACACGTTACGTCCTCTACTGATCAAGATGCCTACAGACAATGAATGACAAATATATTATTTCTAAAAACATGAGCTTGCACAATGATGTGGTCATGAAATCAGTCCTTTAATTAACATGATCAAGTGGTGGCCATTGTGATTTAAAACCTCTGAATGACCAATCAGAATAAAATACTTTCTAAAGTCATGGTAAATGTTCATACTCATATCAAACAGCACTCAAGTAACTGGAGCAGGTGGATTGTGAGTAGGACCTGGGTACCAACTGGCGTACCCGGACCAGTGGCTAGTCACGTGTTCTGTAATGACGGTTATAACGAAAACAGTGTTCAATGGTACACTTAAGTCGCTAGATAAGATAATAAAGATAATGGTCCATTCAACTTCAGGGTGGGCAATTTAAGAGAAGGGCATTTTAAATGTTTTTAAAAAAAATAAAAATTGCTGGGACATTTTGTACTCAAGACAATATGTAGACCTACCTGCCTGTCATTTCATCAATCACACAAAACAAGGTGAAAATTTATACTTTGGGCATTTACTGAATTTATAACCCTGAAATGACAAGCTACTCATATATGAATATAACATGGGAGCTTGTAACTCCCTAGTGCATAGTGGTTATAACAGGTACCACATATACATGAAATTCAAACATTTTTAATGGAATAGGCAAAAGAAATTATATCTGAAACTATACTGAACCAGGAATAATATATGTTCTAACAATATGTCATTTTAGTTGCTGCTTTTACTATTATATAAACTGATAATTAGTATAGCATTTTGGCAAATTATCGATTATCTTTATATGTATGGAACAGATTGGGGTTGTCACTGTTTTAGATAAACTAATCAGCAATCGCAACACAAATGTTTCCTACATGTTTGCTATTTAGACCAAGAAAACAATATTGACACAAAATAACAACAAATATGACTTTAAAGTTAAAGTATCGCATACATGATGTATGTATCCATTCACTAGCCACCACAATTTGATTCAAGGCATCAATTGTCAATCTGATAAAGGTGACTGTTTGATCGGAAAAACGAAAAACAATATACAATAACGCTCAAGGCTTAAACAATTAAGGAATAAAAGAGGTTCGAAATTTTGCTTCCTACTCTTTCCAAAACAGGAATCATGTAAATGACTCCAAGAGCTTACATACATTGCGTGTTAAGGTGATAAATGGAAGCATAACTGGTTTAGATCTAGATGGGAAAGTGAGCAGGACAATCATGAAACTAGTCCTTAAACCGCTCACTGAACTTTGAAGCTAGTAATAACATACAATGTTGTAAAACCACTTACAAAGCATAGAGAAACATGACACAATGTAACGAAGACAATGACAAGTACCTCGTTTATACAGCTTCATTTAATGCGTGATGTCAAGGCCATAGAGGGAATAAACACTGTTTGTCTAAATCTGGTGTATGTGAAACACGGTCGCGATACACTCATATAAACAATGTAACCAAATGACAACACACCGCTCGATCTTGTAAACAATTTCTTCGTAACAGAGGCGATGGTGGTATTCAAATCATTTCTGTAAAAGGAGTTTCAAAGTACTTACTGATCCTTAACCTACAGATGGATGAGCTGGGTGTCACCTACCCTGGTCAGGTTCATGCGAACACTCACAACCACCAGTCATCGAAAATCAGAAAATTACCTCGGTGTTCACCGACGAAAACAGGTAGATCTAGGCTAGCACCATACTTACCCAAAAAAGAAAATTTGCGAAGAACAAGATATATTTAACCACTGGGCTCACGAAAGTATCATTTTGTCCACAGCAGCCCATTTTAAACACTCAAAAGATCTACTAAGCGCCGACATTCGCCGATGTGTTCGTACTCCAATTGAAACCGTACAGGAAACAATGCGCATGTCGGTCGCACGGTGTGACGCACCGTCACGTGATCAAGTGGTAGAGATTTTTGTCTTGGATATTTTATTCCCACTATATTTCCAAACAGAAGCTATACTTTGGCGGGAAATGTATGTTTGAAAATGTTGTATGCTTTACAAATGAAACAAAATAAAAAGGTAGTGTTTGATACCCCGGAGTTTGCTTGTGGTTGGCGTTCACTCAAAATATAATCGTCACCGCAAGCTGTTGAACGGTGGCCAAGTTGGCACATCCCGCTCAAAGCAAAATACACTTAATCAAAGTGGAGAAGTTGTCAAGAGATTATACAAAGCGCGAGGTGTTCAGGGAGATTTGTGTCTTCTATTTCTTTTGCACTGCCATATGCCCGTGTGTAGATAAGCGTGACCAGGGAAAACAGTCGGCTGCCGTCTCTCTCTCTCTCTCTCTCTCTCTCTCTCTCTCTCTCCCTCTCTCTCTCTAAATATGAAAATACATTGTTGATGTGTAATTCCTTTCTAAAACCAACAAAGCACTAGTTTGAAAAATAAAATAAAGCGATATGTGTAGTGTGTGTACCCCGTGTCCTCTTTATGGCCCTTGGCTATAACATATAGCAAGTCTTTGAATGACATTCAGAAGTGATACACATAAAGAAGAGAAGTTATGCATGTCAACTTTTTTTTATGGTTAGGGAACACAAAGTTTCGGAGTAATACTTACTCCTTTATCAGGTAAATGTGATCATTCCACCACACTGGGTGACGTCACCAGAGTAACGTCAGAGGTAAAGAATGTAGGTAGGTGATAATAACGGCAATATTCCACCACACAGGGCGGCGTCACCAGAGTAACATCAGCGGTAAAGTATGGAGGTAGGTGATAATAACGGCTATATTCCACCACACAGGGTGACGTCACCAGAGTAACATCAGAGGTAAATTTGGAGGTAGGTGATAATAACGGCTATATTCCACCACACAGGGTGACGTCACCAGAGTAACATCAGAGGTAAATTTGGAGGTAGGTGATAATAACGGCTATTCCACCACACAGGGTGACGTCACCAGAGTAACATCAGAGGTAAATTTGGAGGTAGGTGATAATAACGGCTATTTCCACCACACAGGGCGGCGTCACCAGAGTAACATCAGAGGTAAATTTGGAGGTAGGTGATAATAACGGCTATATTCCACCACACAGGGTGACGTCACCAGAGTAACATCAGAGGTAAATTTGGAGGTAGGTGATAATAACGGCTATATTCCACCACACAGGGTGATGTCACCAGAGTAACAACGAGGTAAAGTATGGAGGTAGGTGATAATAACGGCTATATTCAACCACACAGGGTGGCGTCACCAGAGTAACAACGAGGTAAAGTATGGAGGTAGGTGATAATAACGGCTATTCCACCACACAGGGTGGCGTCACCAGAGTAACAACGAGGTAAAGTATGGAGGTAGGTGATAATAACGGCTATTCCACCACACAGGGTGGCGTCACCAGAGTAACAACGAGGTAAAGTATGGAGGTAGGTGATAATAACGGCTATTCCACCACACAGGGTGGCGTCACCAGAGTAACAACGAGGTAAAGTATGGAGGTAGGTGATAATAACGGCTATTCCACCACACAGGGTGGCGTCACCAGAGTAACAACGAGGTAAAGTATGGAGGTAGGTGATAATAACGGCTATTCCACCACACAGGGTGGCGTCACCAGAGTAACAACGAGGTAAAGTATGGAGGTAGGTGGTAACAACGGCTATTCCACCACACAGGGTGGCGTGACCGGAGTAACATCAGAGGTAAAGTATTGAGGTAGGTGATAATAACGATAATATGCCACCACACAGGGTGACACGAACAGTATATCGTCCTTTCTGAAAATACACAGAAACGTGAATGAGTTTTTACGCCGCTTTTAGCAATATTCCAGCAACATACTGGCGTGACAAGTAACCTCTATTACCACCTGGCTTACAAGTGGAATGATATTTATTATTATTCTTCATGTATGATCCCCAGTATTGCCACAGCATTAACCCTATACCCATGATTACCGATGAAACTCACAGGGACTGAACACGTCAAATAATAGCGTTCCGGCTTGTTCACTGTAAACACAGGCCTGATAGCCATCTAACAACGCGTTCCGGACATTTAACAACGACACTGTCATTTCCTCTTAAGTGTCAACGTGAATAAGCACATTCTACTTAGAGAAAGGACTATATAAGAGACAGATATATGGCAAGGGTCATGTACTGCAGTCTGGTAAATGAGCAAATCAGGTGCAAGTGCACACGCAGCCCCATGTAGTATGCAGTGCCTTGATACATTGAGTGCAAGTGCACACGCATCCCCCTGTAGTATGCAGTGCCTTGATACATTGGGTGCAAGTGCACACGCAGCCCCATGTAGTATGCAGTGCCTTGATACATTGAGTGCAAGTGCACACGCAGCCCCCTGTAGTATGCAGTGCCTTGATACATTGAGTGCAAGTGCACACGCAGCCCCCTGTAGTATGCAATGCCTTGATACATTGAGTGCAAGTGCACACGCAGCCCCATGTAGTATGCAGTGCCTTGATACATTGAGTGCAAGTGCACACGCAGCCCCATGTAGTATGCAGTGCCTTGATACATTGAGTGCAAGTGCACACGCAGCCCCCTGCAGTATGCAGTGCCTTGATACATTGAGTGCAAGTGCACACGCAGCCCCCTGCAGTTTGCAATGCCTTGATACATTAAGTGAGTTTAGTCTAACGCTGCTTTCAACACAACAGCAGCAGTAGTAGGAATAATAGTAGCAGTTGTAATAGTAACAGCAGTAGTAGTAATAGTAGCAGTGGGAATAGTAGTAGCAGTAGCAGTAGCAGTAGTAGCAGTAGTAGTAGTAGTAGTAGTAGTAGTAGTAGTAGTAGTAGTAGCGGGATTTTTACCTTGATGTACAAAAGTGGGGTTCCAGGTGACCCCCAATAATTAACCTTCAAGGGTCCTTGCAGACAATATGAGGGCCCTGTAAAGTAATGAAATGGTGTAGTGTACTGTTTAGATAGTTACTTCTGAGCTTGCGTGGAACGAATCAAGGATTATGTGGACAGAGGGCATGTTTGATGTATGAAATAACAAACACCCATAGCTGCTCTTGATGTAGGTACAATGATTATCATTGTGCGTCCCTCGAAACGCAGTATATTTATTTTTCTGTGTCCATTCTCTACATTTGTGCGTCACGTAAAAACCCCGTAGTAATACTAGTATCGCCAAGATCTTAATAATCATCAAGTTTGAAACACGCCCAACTTTCAGCATACATTTAGAGTTGTACGCGTCGATCAAGACCATACAATCATAACAGTGAGTCATGTAGCAGAATAAACAAATTTATCTTTAGGATAATTGTAGATTTCCAACCACGCAATGTAGTATACATAGTATATAGCATATACATGAAGCATAAAACATCAAACGCAGTTGTACTCTATGAAGCCTAGGGTTTGTGGTTGCACACTAGTGGCTAAGATACACCGATGCGGCCTGGATGTGCTCCCGAATCAGGGTGTTGTCCATCTGTTTCATTCTCCATCATGTATATACTCTGTCTGCCCAGAGTTGGTCTGACCAAAAGGGAATTCACATAAACCACGGTATTGATTCCATGGCGCTCCGAACAGAGAGGTTGTAAAATATCTCAACATAGATAGGTCAATATCTTTCTTCATTCGGAACCCCCTGTTAATGCTCGTTTATAAGATACAGAAACTGCTTGATTAGAACCGCCCCCCCCCCCCCCCCCCCCACACACACACACACAAATAGATGGCACAACAGATCGTCGCGCAGAGAGTTATCGTAACCGTGTGCAAGATAGAATGTACACGCACCATTCACGAACGTCACCAAATGCATCAGATTCTTTCAAACCTCAATAACCACCAGCTGCTGAAAACAGAACAGAACCAAACTTTTTTTACCCAATGCTACATGGCATAGCATAATTCACGCGCCATTGGTCGTGACGAGACACGGTTGCATACGCAGATTTTCCATTCGTCACCATTCGCATCTTTCCGTAAGAAGGTTTGTCCCGGACTTGCAATAATTGGTCTCGAATGGCAGATTTTCCTCTAATTCTCTGATTAGATTGTAATGTGATTAGAATGTACCATGACCAATGATCCGTGATAGGTGTTGCATCACCATTATACGATGTATACAACTGGGCTAGTTTTGCGAGATATTCGATGAAACTTTTAGCATATACTGGTGTTCACAATGTGACAGGATCCGATAATTGTATATATTTTCAGAGTTTTATCAGTTTAGATTTTTACTGAATTAAATATTCAGTCAAATATGTTTTAAACATTATATACTTCACACTTCAGCTCTCCTAATTCTCTGTTTCAGCTTACTGCATGAGTACTTTGCCATAGCCTCAATCACCTAGTGCACTATCACACAATAGCCTGCCCAAGCGCGCCCCTCAAAGCCCCTTTGTGTTTCAGGTTCTAGCTTACTGTCTCCAGTTTTAAAGGGTTTAGTTTTACTACAGTTTAGAGCACATTTGATGTTACTGTCAAACACACGTATATCATTGGAATTCACAATTTGGACAATTTGGACTAATTGTGGTGTTTGATCTATTGGACATTTTGGAATTCACTTCTAAAGGTTGGTCTTTTGATGATATTTTATTGTTTGTGCGTATTCCTAGGATTTGTAGGTATATTGTGTTTATGCTCTTGATAATTTGGCTGTTTTGGTCATGTTGTAAATATTCGCCAGATCATAGTAATTAGTTGTATTTCTGTATGCATTACAAGTGTTATTATTTACGTAAGGTAAATAATTCAGTAAGTGCTAAGTTTAGGCTTAAAATACTATTTAACTAAATCTTCAATCACTGTGAAGCTGATGTATGAAAGTATGAAGTATGAAAGTAAGAATGTGAAACATATATGTTGCTAGGTAACATATTGGTATAAATGAATGTGTAATGTATGAATGTA